ATAAACAAAACAAACCAGACACATGGTCACAGTTTGCCGCAACTGTCCAGATCTGGGAGGTGTAACAATGCTGATCTTTTGGAAGGGGTAAGCTGTTTTGCTCACTTTTGTAAGAAATTTTGAAAAAGCAGCGAGGAGGTGGAGAAAAGAAATACACCACTTTGTTTTGTTTAATAAAAGAGTATATATTTTCTTTACTTAACACACTGAATCCATAAGAAAGTGCTAGTACTCTTCTTATTTTTTCAGATAAGTGATAAACTCTGGGCTTGTCAACAAATAGTGTATGAGAACTATTTCTAAAAACAAGTGCCCGGCCCCCGCAGTGAGTGATAAACTCTAAAGAAGTTAGCAGACAGCATATGAGAACTATCTCTAAATAACAACTGCCGAGTTATGGAGCTTAAGGATTACTTTCCAGACTGTTTTTACCTTTACAGATGCTTGTATTTTTTAAGAATTTTAGATTTTTGTAAAAAAAAAAGTGATCGTTGGGAAGAGTTTTAATGAAAAATATAATAATAATAAAAATTATTATTATTATTATTTTAATACAAAAGAGCTTTTATATTTATTTAAAATTTAATTACTTTACAAAAATCTTTGTTCATATTAATATTTTGAATTGCTTTATCTTTGCTCATATTAATATTTTGAATTGCTTCATTTTTGCTCATATTAACAGAATTTGTAATACTTTGAATTGCTATATCTTTACTAATATTTATAGAATTCATTATATTTTGAAATACTTTATTTTCATTAAGGTTTGTAATATTTTGAATTGCTTTATAAGAACTGAAATCAGATTTAATATAGTCATTCTTAGCAAACTATAAATAAAAAATACAGTTAAATAAATAATAATTAGTAATAAGACTATATTAGTAAAAAAATATATATATAAATCTTCATAAGTTTTTATACAAGGGTAAATTTATAAAAAGCTTACAATTAGTTCAAAGTATTATACAGGCATAGTAATTACAAAAGTTTATACTAAAGTAACTTCAGAGTATTACAGTACGAATATTTATAGTATAGTAATTTGAAAACTTGCAAAAACTTGCAAAAACTTGTATAAAACTATGAAGTAATATTTCAAATTTTCCTTTCCACAAACTTTTGCAAAATTTCACAAATTTTTAAAATTTTTTAAAAAAATAAATAAATGATATATATGTTTACTTAATTATGCTTTTTACAAGTTTATAATATTTTGCAATTTAATATAAAATTATATATTTTTTTATTAATTTTACTCAACTAATAAAATTTTTAATACGGCATACAACGGGCAATTGATGATCAAAGAGGTATCTTTAATCGATACAAAATTCCTAGTAAGTTAGGAATCCTGAGAGAGATAAACAGTTGTTATAGCAGGTTGTATTGGGCAAATAGCCTGTGAGTCTTTATTAGAATAGAGCGTTATACTATTTTGATGTAGTATTTTGTATAATAGTCATATAGTAGTTTATAAAATAAATAAAAGCAGGACCGCTTAATATAAAAAAAAAAAAAAAATTTTTAATTCATCGAACTCTTTCTGATGATCATCTGGACCATATTTTCCGAAAAACTTTTTGATTAAAAAACAGTAACATACTGCAAGAAAAATATAAGATATAAGAAAAGAGTATAAGAAAAACTGCACTTGTCATTTAGAGGTAGTTCTTATACACTATTTGCCAACAAGCTTAGAGTTTATCACTTATAGCAGTATGGCACTTGTCGTTTAGAGATAGTT